AGCAATAATATTGCTTTGGCAATATTTTATGTAAACACAATCATGCCAAGAAAGTATTTTAAGAATCATTTAAAAATATCTTTAACAATCATAATTGTCTTTTTATATTTAATCATTTTGTATTTTTACTTGCTTTCCAATACAAATACGTATTGTATTTCGTACATTGTTTGTTGTTGTTTTTTTTAATCAGGATGCATTTACTTGAAATGCATAAGAAATAACATAAGATTGTTTTCTGATAAAATTGAGTTTGTTTTTAAAATAGTAGCAAAATCTGCCCTGCATTCAGAAAAATAAACATTTTTCTCTTTAAATTATGTCTATTTTCTGACCTCATTGGCATATTTTTTGTCTCATTTTAAGCAAAAGCACAGTTTATTTTGATGAATTTACCAAAAATAAATGGTAGACTTTATATCTTGTCATTTTGCATCTTTGCAAATTTACGTTTAGACATTTATGCATTTGACAGACATTTTTATCCAAAATGACTTGCACTGCATGTTATCAGTTCATGCATTCTTTGAGAATTGAACTCATGACCTTGACAGTATTATTATTGCAATGCTCTACAGTTAAATGCATCTTGATTTAAGAATAATTTTAGATGACTGTATTGGAAAACAAAAATACTGAGTAAGAACATCACTTTATACAGTGTAATTATTTTACACCAAATACTGTATGTCATGCCAAATGTTTGAATAATGTCAATGTTCACCTTACAAACCTAGTTCTTCTACGAGCATTTAACCCCTTGTCAAAGGTACAAGAGAACACTAGTTTACTCAAAAGTCCAGTCAAAGACTGTCTGGTTCATATTGCATGGAAAAATGACAAACACTGGCTGACAATGCCAGCTCAAATCTGACTGATTGTTTTTAAAAACAAAACTCTGACGAATCGCTTTACAGTTCGCTCAGGTTGTCTCTTCCTTATAAGTGGGCAGTTCTTCGCTAGAATAAGCTGATAACAGTCAAATGCCTGGCTATTCAATACTAACCACTAAACATGTCCTCTAACCAACTCTACTTCACATGAGGTGCTTGTTCCTTTTGGGTTCTGAATTATTGCTTTCAGTTGGTCTCAGGAAACAGTGAATTATTCTAGGCATATTTTAATATTAAGATTTGAATATTAAGTCTTGAGTGGGCCGCATTGGAGCTTGAATCCCAGAGTTCAGCCCTGAGAAAGCAGCCAGTCATGGTGCCTACAGAGGGTCTGGAATCTGTTCAGATGGCTTTACCAAACAATAGCTGGATTATCCAGGAGAGCCACTGACCTTATGTCTGGATAAATCAAAGCAGAGCTT